TCCCCTCTCGCGGGGCCGGGGCTCGCCCGCCGCCGGCAGCCCCCGCCGCGCCCCTCCCCCGGCCGCAGCCCACCCCTCTCCTTCCTCTTCCTCCTCCGCCCCCACCCCGCTCGGGGCTCGCCGGCCTCGGGCCGACACGGCGCCCGCCGCCGCCGCCCCCTCCCCTCCCGCCGGCTCCTCCGGCACCGCGCCGCCACGCGCCGCGCACACCTCCGCCTCCCCACCCCCCGCCCTCCTCCCGCTGCTGACGTCTGGCTCTGCCCGGCTGAAAACTCCGCGCCGCGGCGGATGCGGCGGCTCTCGGCAGCGCGGCGGCGGCGAAGATGGTGGCGGCTCCGTGCGCCCGGCGGCTGGCGAGACGCTCCCGCTCGGCGTTGGTGGCGGCGCTCACCGTGCTGCTGCTGCAGACCCTCCTCGTCTGGAATTTCACCTCCCTCGACGCCGGAGAGGAGCAGCGCGGCGCCTCCGGCCGCGAGAAGCGGGACCGAGGCACCGCCGGCGGCGGCGAGCACCGCGCGCAGCCGCACCGCCGCGGGGCCGGCGCCGTGCACGGGAAGGCGATGGTACGTGCGGAAGCTCCGCGGGGCCGCGGTCGGGGCGCGGGGTGGTGCCGGGCAGAGCTCCCCGCGGAGCCCTCCGAGCAGCGGTGCCGGCGGGCGCGGCGCCGCTCAACTTCGCCTCGGGGCCGCCGCGTGCCGCGGGCTCGCTTCGTTCACGCGTTTGCTTTTTTTCGCCAGAGACCGCGCGGGCGCCGCTGCTTCTCGCCCGGTTCTGCCCGGCCCGGTAGGTTACAGGCAACGCGATTTAATGTAACGATGCCGTTGCCCACTGAACACGTTCCCTCTCTCCCCATCTCTCTTTTTTTTTTTTTTTTTTTTTTTTCATTTTGCAATCCGGGCCCGCAGTGGCCGCGCAGCGTCCTATTCCTACCGCGTTTCGGAGCGTTCCGGCGGAGCACCGCCTGTGCCGCTCGTGCTGCGGGCTGCGAGACTTCAGTTGTGCGCTGTCCGTTAGGAACGTGAGCCGCTTTGTCTGCTCTGGGATTTTTGTGTGCATCTTGTGAGGGAAAGCGGCAGCGGGTCGGTGCTGAGCGGGATGGGGCGGGATGGGGGACCGCTCGTGGAAGGCAGCGCCGTGCGGTCCTCGTGTGCCAGGTGTGATTGCTGAGAGCCTTGCCCGGTTCGGCGCTTGACTCTGTGCGTTGCCGTATGTCGATACACACCGCTTTGAGAAGTCTAACTACTGGATTTCCGCGGTTTTTCCTCCAGCCCTGCCGTCTTTCTCTCCCGGTCCAGTCTTTCATTGTCTCATCTCCCCCTCGTTTGCCCGGAGCTTTTCCCGCTGGATCTCTCTGTGTGGGCCCTTGAGGATCGTACTGCTGCAAGGCTCCATACGGAGCCAGCTCCAGCCCTGCTCCTTGCCTCGGGAGCCCTTCTGCTCCGTGCTCTGAGTGGCTGTCGGGAGGGCACTGCTCACAGCTAACTTGCAGACATCACAGCCCTGTGCCTGGTGCGATGGGATGGGCACCCAGTGCAGGGCTGAGATGCTGAGAAGCACTTCCCATGCTGGGGCTGTGTGCGTGGAGGGCTCCGGGCATGTGGATCTGGGAGCTGTGACTCACTGCTGCGTGCACACGGATTTGAGCAGAGACCTAAAGATGGAGCATTGAGGTTCCTGGTAGAAGACTTTTACTAAAAAGCATACTAGTTCTCCCCTGGTTCCCTCTGTAAACAGTGGGACTGCAGCACACCATCCTCCAGTTGGTAGTGCCACGCAGGAGCTGTGCTGCAGGCGAGTGCTGTGTTGAGAAGGGATGATGCTTTTTTAAGACAAGCTCATGGTGCTTGTGGTTCTGCTTCACCTGCACGCAGGGATGTGGCTCCGTGCTTAGAGCTGCTTGTGCGAGCTCTGGAAGCTGTGTGTAAGACTGAGCCTTTGGAACATGGGACAGTTTGTGCTGTGCTGCCCCAGTGCTGTGCAGCTCCTGGCACTCCCAGGTCCAGCTCTGCATTGCTTATTGCACACATGCATGTACCCAGCCCTGCTGTGTGCTGTCTGTCTCCCAGGCGGGCCTGCTTTTGGTTTCAGGCTCAATTCACACAGAAACTCTCTGTTCGATGGAATTACATGACACAGAATCAATGTGAAAGATGTCTTTTTTTTTTCCGGTGCTTTGTTTCCATGTTAAGATTTAATTTATGTAGTGCAAAGTTGCTCTCCTTTTCAGCCCAAGTTTCCCATAGTTGGTGTGTGTCAGATTGCTTTGCAGTGTCAAGAGTTGCAGGCTGTGTGAGCACAGCGCTGCCATTACACCCTGATGTTGATGGCCCCAGAGCCCATCCCAAGTGTTGTTTTTAAAGACTTCTCATTCTTGTCTTTCAACCAGAAAGCACTGTACAGAAGACAGCTTTTCTCAGGCTACTGTCTGAAAGTTGCCCTGTGAGGTTACAGTGTTTTTATTTTGATTTTTCTGTCTCCGATCTCCGTGGAAGACTAAAACTGTGGTACTTGCCTTACCCTTCTGAGTCAGACATCAGAGCAGTGCAAGGACTTGGTCATCTATGTCTGTGGGAAAGGAAATGCAATTTGATGCGAATGTTTAAGAGGTATTCGCATTTTTTTGTTAAATGCTATCTGATCCATGTAGTCGTCCGAAACATGGAATAACACCACACTGTGTTGTGTTTTTGTTTTTGTTTTTTTTTAAAAGGTGCTACTAAGCCTAGTTGACTGTAAGTTGCCAAGTTGGCAGGAAGAAATGATTTAGAAAGGAGCTATTCTGTAACTGCACATGTTCTCGGGGCTGAATCCCCAGGCCAGCTGCATCTGGGGCTTTCAGTACTCATAGGCAGTTTCCTGCAGTTGTTCTATGTTGAATTAAATCAGGTGATAGATATCTTTAAGGAAGTATGAATTGTATCAGTGTAGCAGTGACTTCAGCGGGTGCTTGCTACCACGTGTGATTTTCACAGCTGTTGGACAGCCTTTGCATGGTCTTTCTGTGTTCTGCAGCACTCCGGCAGTAAAAGCAAGAAGGATTCAGCAGCAGCTCACTGCTTCGCTGGGCTTTGTTCACGCTGCCTGCTTGGGGTGCTGGAAGTGGCTGTTGGTGGGTGCTGTGCACTGGAGTCCAAAGGGAGGGTGGAGGAATGTGCATCCTTGCTGCAGGGCTGCTGGTGATGGAGGGAGGTGACATCAGGCTCAGGCTGCCTGCAGCTGTGTGCTGTGCTCCCCAGCTGTGGCTGCATGTCCCTCGAGTAGGGGGTGGCAGGGCTGTGTCCTGGTGCCATGCAGCACTGCTGTGTTACCACCTGTCTGCCAAGCAGTGCCGGCAGTCACTGTGCAGCCTGGAGAGGTGTGGTTGCTGGCATTGGTTCAGAGCACTTCTGTAGTCCGGGATGTGGGGGATTCACTTTAAAGGAGTGGCGTGCTTTTAGCATGGTGCTGTCTCAGGGTACCAAATGCAGCTTTCAATAGTGGAAGTGTTGGAACTGGGAAACATGGTGAGACAGCTTTTGTGTGGGAGGGATGAAGGTTGTCTAACCATGAGCAGAAGTTAAGCTGTAGAGGATGGACCTGAGGATCACTGGTGCCTCTCCCCTTTGTTTTCCTTTTTGCAAGGTGGGTCCCTTGCTGCACCTGGGTGTGGAGCTCTTGGTTAGAAAGTTTTCAAAGGGAGGTAAGAAAAACAAGCCTGTTATTTCACCTCTAACTTAATCTTTCTGCTTCAATCAGTGAATGGGTTCCACATGTTATAACACAGGTGATACCTGTCTCCTCATCTTCCCCTTGTTAATGCAGACAGGTGCCCTCACTCATTCCAGCTCTGAGTGCAGGAAAGCTGCGAGGGAGCTCCGTTTGTGTTCACCCCCAGGACAGGGTGAACCGTGCCTTGCCTGCTTTCTGTATGACTGTGGGTGTCAGTGGAGCAGCTGAGCTAACAGCCTTAGGTTGAGAGCAAAATGCATGGCATTGAGCTGTGAGGTGGCTGAAAATGATCCATTTCTAAGGAGAAGTACTGACTTAGCTGTTAAGTACCTTCTGCTTGTTAATGGGACCTTAATCATGGAGCAGTACAACTTCACTAACAATGGAAAAGGGGAATGGAGGCTGCTAATTGTTTTGTAATGGGAAGGGGGGATGTGATACATCTAGAGCTAGGAGCTGTGTAATGATTTCTGTGAAGTCTTAGCACTTAGCAAGGCACATGTTAATAAAACAAACAAATCTTTTCAGTAACAGAACTAATATATGCATTATTTAAGAAGAGTGCTAGAACTGGCTCAGGCTGACAGACTCCTGCAGCAGTTACCTCGTTAAGGATCTTTCTGTGGGATGTGGGAAGGTGTATGAAGTGGATCTGTATTAATTGGCTGTGCCATCTGAAGTCTCTGCCAGGCCACTGGAGTGCTTTCTTGTTGTTTTTTGTTTTTTTAATGGGTTTGTGCAGGTGTTTCCTTTGAATTAGAAGCATTTTTTTTGAATTTTATTTTTTTTAGCAAGGGAAGACCAACTGTTGCTCTATGTTACCTGCTGCATCTCTCTGCTGTCTTCAGAAGTACTTTTCAAAATATCTTTTCTCTCTGTATTTGAAGTCCACGATAACTGGTACAGCATCTTATTGGTGTTTGATGAAGAGACAGGAGTACAGTGAAAGCAAGAAGTTGGCTTAGTTTACAAGGACAGTCAAATTATATAACCTCAAGGATAAACTTTAATGAAGTACTCCTGATTTTTCTCCCCAGTAGTAAGATTGGGGAGGGGAGCAGGAGCAGAACAGGGAGCTGTGCTGTGTTCTGGCTGCTGGAGAGACTGGAGAAAGCTGGGGCTTGTGTGCTGAGTGACCCTCTTTGCCACTCCAGCCTTGTTGTTGGAAGTAATATGTCTGAAGTGTGTTTTGGGTACAAAACTTGCTCTTGGAACTGTCACCATGCCAGCTCTGAATGTGTAGTAGCACAGTTCATGATGAGTAGCTGTGCTCTCAAGTGCTCTAGTCGGATTCTTAGACTTGGTTGCTGTGGTCCTCTTGCACAGCTTTCAGTAACTGTGTGCCCTTGGAGTGCAGTGCCTACATGTGTGGGATGGGCAGGAGGGCTCTGCATAGGAGCAGAGGGTGAAGTTGGAGTCCTGGTTGCATTTCCCTGGCCTCTGGACATCTGCAACAAAGCCTTCAGAGCTACACATCTAAAAGCAGTCTCTCCTTTTGAAGTTTCCAGTTCTTGAGTGTCCAGACTTGGTCCTCTTTGGTCTGATGACTGTGCTTTCTTTCCTCCAGAGAAGCTGAGAAATGGCAAGGTCTGCCTTTATCCCTTCCACGTTTGGTGCCAGTGATCACAGCTGTGCCATTCTGAGCACTTAGGCTTGGGCTGAAGCTCACAAAAACCAGGCTGCTAATGAATGGAGAGAGCTGAGTGCCTCCAGAAGGCAATCGAGCTCTCTCCAGACCTGAATCTCTGCAAATGAGCTGGAGAGACCATGGCAGTTCTGCCTGGAAACCTGCTGTGCTTCGCGGGAGTCCATCCCTCATAACATGAGATCTGCTGCTCTGCTCCCCAGGCTGCAA